AAGAATTGGATCGAATCCTTCCCGAAGACGCCATACTTTGCGGCCAATCATTGAACTGTGATCTTCAGGCGCTACAACTCATTCATCCGTATATTATCGATACGAGTGTTATATACAACACGTCAGGCTTAAGACCAATGAAACCGTCTTTAAAATACTTGAGCAAAAAGTTTCTCAATCTTGAGATTCAAAACAATGACTCGAGTGTTGGCCACGACTCGACTGAGGACGCGATGGCGGCCATGAAATTAGTGAAACTGAAGCTAAGTATGGGTCTGGAGTTTGGCGATCGGGTCCTCTCCGACCTCGACTATGGCTATGAAGACAAGCATTTTCTACCCATAAATAGTTATTTAGAGAAATTTAAAACAAAACTCAATGTTTTCTACGATTACTGCGATATTGAAAGCAGTGATAAATCGCTCATAATTTACAGCTCTTCGCACAAATCAAACCATGAATTGTCTGAAACTATCAATCAATGCATTCATTCAGATAAACAAATCTGTATTCTTCTCAACAAATGCGGCAAATGTTATATAAAATATTAATTAATTCTGTATTAAATAGAGTTTATAATTAAATTATATTTATTTAAATTTATATTTATGGCAAACGATATCAATGTTTGGCCATATCTTTCAAATGAACTCATTTTTTGAATTAAAAAACAATATTTGAAAAGTTTGAAACTTTTTGATTGCAATTCAATTGATGAGTGAATGTCTCGGTATTTATGTATTCATTGTATTGACAACAATATGGGAGGGATTAGTGGAGAACACGTGACACAAACAGTGCGGCCAAAGGCTGTGACGTAAGCCTCGATGTGATTGTTTAGGCGCTCTTCACAAACACATCACTCCCTAAGACATTGTCTTCAAACACATCCCAAAACATGGATTTGAGTCCATTTATTGATAATCCAATGGTGGACAATACGTTCGAGTCAGTCATACCACCGGTCGCTCTTCAGGAGGAATGCATTGCCGGCATCGACGAGGCCGGGAGGGGACCTGTTTTGGGTGATTAACTGATCTCTGATTGACATGTTTTGACACAAATGGTCACTATTTTTAGGTCCAATGGTTTACGGTTTGGCTTTCTTTCCCTTATCTCAAGAATCACTTCTTAAAAAACTAGATTTTGCCGGTATTTGGAGTGAAATATAAATGTCATTTCCAGTGCTTAATGGATGTGTTGTTTGTCCACAGATTCCAAGACATTGACCGAAGAGAAAAGAGAGGAGATCTTCGAGAAGATCGGCAAAAATGAATACAAAAAGATCGGTTACTTAGCGACTGTCTTATCGCCGGTCACTATAAGTAAT